ATCCCTTGTCGCAGAAGAGTTTTTAAATCACTATTGAATTTAGAAATTAAATCAAAGTTACGATTGTAAAATTTAGTAAAATATTTCCGTAATTTATGATAGCCGTAGCCCTGTTTTAGAAGCTTGCTGGTAATAAAAATATTCCGCTCGTTGAAATCCTTTACGTTGCTACAAGGTCTAGCGAATCTAATTAACTGAGAAACATAAACCCCGTAAGATGTTGCATGGGGTACGTCTCCATCTAAATGTGGATAATTAACTATACAAAAGTCAAAGTCATCTCTTTTATCATAGATTTTCGTGTGAATAGAATTGTTGTTGATAGTAATATGAAGATCCAAAAATGATGTACTTTAATTTGAAGAGTTCGTTTTATTAAGTTGTAGTTCATGTGGATAAATGTCAGACACCATTTGATCAAAATAAGGATTGTCTAAATTAAAAATATCATCAAGGTATCTGGAAGTATCATTAAATGCGACTATAACATCTTGTTGTTTATCTTCAGAGAGACTCAACATAAAGTCTCTTTCATAGCAGTACAAAAACAAATCGGCGACCAGGGGTGCACAATTAGTACCCATAGGAATTCCTGTGATCTGTTTAAATAGGGTATTACCAAACCTGACATAAATGTTGTCTAAAAGAAAAGAGAGTGCTCTACAAACTTCGTCACAGGTCCACATAGTATAATGTTTAACAATACCGTTAGTAAAAAAAGCTTTGTTAGAATTACATGCTAGAAAGGTAACTTTTTCCCGTGCAAAAGTTTTCTGAATTAGGGAAATTAGTTTATCATTGATTAATTTATGTGGCAAAGTTGTATAAAGTGTAGAAAAATCGTATGTACTGACAGTTGAAGCTTGAAAGTTCTTAATTTTGAATTTATCCAAGATTTCACCAGAATTTTTAATTGACCAAAAGAGATGTTTGCCTGTGTTTTCATAGACTTTATCACAATATCTAATTACATGTGTTTTAATGGCAGTCAAACAAGACGTCAATAAAATAGAAAGTTTACTTGTCGTGCAAGATGTAGAATTAGCAATGAATCTAGCTTTGTAAGGTTTTTTATGTAATTTAGGAATCCAATACATAATAGGAAGTTTGAGTTCTTTTTCATTAATTTGTACTTTAAGATTAGAAATATTAGTAATATGATTGTTTACAATGTCTTTTTCGGAGGCAGAGGTTTTAGAATACGCATTAGTACTATTTAGTTCCTGATGCAAAACGTTAATGTAATGGATTCGTCATACAATTATAATATTATTAGCCGCCTTGTCCGCTGGCACCAAAACAAATTTTGAATGAAAAGCTAAAATATCTTTTTTCAGATGTCTTAAAGTAAGTCTTGGTTTAGGTGGCAAAAGATGTTCATTTCCACGATAAAAATTAATACGTGAATCAATAATTTTAAAGATGTTACGTTTCCATGTAACTAGAGCATTACTATCCGCATTTTCACGGCGACACCATTTGACCGAAAAATCCTCTATAGATTCAGCAATCTGACCACGACAAGCATTAAAATCAATTTCAGAAGGAATTCTGTATTTAGGTCCTTTCAAGAATAAGTTACGAATTCTTTTGTCTGCAATTATATCAAAATTACCAGTGATTATATGGCCAAAATCTGAATTACAGAATTTAGAAGTATTGCAGTCTCAAGTTGTTGGAGTATTAGACTGAATATCTAAGCCAGAAACCACTTTGTTGTAATTAAATATGATATTTCTAACAGGTTTCTTATATTTATAGCAAATAATTGGTATCTCGGAGTTTTTGAAGTATAAAGGAACTGAATTAGTGACACGTTTATCACGAAAAATACTTGGTAAATCGATTAAATCAATACCTTTATTAAGAAAGGTTACTTTTAGGAAATGCCTATTGTGGTCAGAAGTGTTGTCGATATGAGGTCTTAAGACGTGCTGAGTATAACTTTGAATAAGATAAGCTGCTGTATATAAAGGATCTGTTTGAATAACTATATTATCTGCCTCCGCGTCTAAGATTTTCAGAGATGATAATGAAAGGGAAGTAAGACGTGATAACATTGCATGTTTACCAGAGTTTTTTAAGATAATATTTAAGTCGGTGACAGACAGGGTAATTTTAGATTTACGTTTGATGTTGCCATTTCTACGTACTCCGTGAGATCGGGATTTACGTTTACGAATATTCAGAATAGAAAATTTATCAATGTTTGGATCTTTAGAGATGTTACCTTGTTGAAAAATATTGTCATTTAGGCCAAGTGGGAAAGGCGTTTGTAAGTTCTTGATCCATTTTAATTCTGCTAAGTGTCTAACTTTAACTTTATAACTAGCAAATGCATCAGAATCATAAATTATTTGTTCCACTGGTTGAATTGAAACATTTTTAAATGAATGACCATCTTTACGAAAATGTTGATAAAGAAAAGTTGTAAATTTTGTGCGATTTCTCATTTTATAAAAATGTTCACGGAATCGAATTTTAAGAGAACGTCCTGTCTGACCAACATACTGTATGCCACACCCAGGGGTGTTTCAAGTTAAAACATAAACAAAATGAGTTGCCTTTCAGTCAATATCTGTATTTAAAATAATATTAAAAGTTCTCCCATTTACATTAGAGGTTATTGTAGACCTGTGCGATAAAAAGTTACAACATCCGCACTTCTTAGAATAACACTTATTAATAGAAGGATACACTCTAGCTCTATGAGGATAATTAGTATGTGTGATATTATATTTCTTAAGAATGGTATGTTTTATAGGAGAAAGCCTAATGCGTAAAGAATTATTGAAAATATTAGAGTTAATGGATCGTGGAATATAAAATGAATTAACAGATGAAAAGTTTAAAGGCGAAAGAACGACGGATGGTGTTCTAAAGCATTTCTAAATACAGAATTTATCTTATTAACTTCCTAACGAATAATGTTCCACAAACTTCTGGGAAAATAATATAGTTTGAAGCCATTTCTGAATTTATTAAGTTTGCAAAACAAAAACTTCAATGAACATCAAAAACTGTTCCCTAAGGTATGTAAGGCAGACCAAGAATTTCCACATAGTAAGCAATTTTATCTCTAAAGCTTAATCTGATACTGTTACAAAAGTCCACAAAGGACATTATAATGTTGCATGATCAAACAAAATGCACTAATGTAGTAACTTCAAATACTTAAGCTGTAACGATAAACAAAGATTTTATAGCTAATGGTTGTTTTATTTTAAGATCAAAATATGTTTTACTGGCCAAAAACTGAGTTCAGTATTTTCGTGAATGGCGTAGCTGCGATTAAAATGGAACAGTTTTTGTTCATCAGTGATCTAATATTTTAACCAAAAAAACATTCATTTTCATGTTTGTTGTTGTGTTCGTTCATTTTTGATTCTCATATATCCGATAGGTCACGCATTCTCGTTCGTGACTTCCTGAAATCATGACGTATCCATGCTCATATAAAAGAATACAACTATTGTTAAATTAAACTTGAGAATTACAAAGAAAGAACGCGACACTTTACGAACTTCCAAGAAGCGTCTTGAAAATTACCATGTAAATAGTTGACCATATTTCAGAGTATATTATGTTGATTTTATGCCAATGGTTTCAGCGATTTGTTGTATACATGGCGTCAAAGTTGACCACCAAAGCTCGTTTTGGACATACTGTGCACTGTGCTATATTTTACTTCGAATGAATACACTTTAACAAATTTTCGACTTTTTGTATTATTATGATACAGAGCGAATTTGAAGGTACCATGATTTATTAGTCGTGTTGGTGAAGTGACACTCTAACTAACATTTTCTAACGGTTTGGAAATCGCCCCTATAGTTTCACAACCAATTTATACTATCACCCCATGAGTGTAAAATGGAGTTTGAATATAGTATATATAAAATGTTCTTAACAAAATCAAAAGTTCTTTCCGTCAAATATTACTTCAAGAGTTGCAATATAAGCACAGATTTCAATCAGTCCGCTCTTCAATATATTAGTATACATAAAGGGTTTACAATAAATTGTTTTAATTATGCAATAAGCAGTACCAGGGTTAAACGTACATTACCTGCGGAGCTAACGAAAGCACATACGGCAGTAATTTGAACCTATTTAGTCACACAACACGCAGAGATACACTGTGGCTGCAAATTCTTGTGCCTTAACTCGTGACAAAGGGTTATAACCGTTGTTGTACAAGTTTAACTGTTTTATTAACTATTTTACTAATTGGTCGATCAGCAGTATGTTGTATACACAATTAACTACTGTACTTAATAACGGGTGACTTATAAATTTTGGACTATGCCCTTTCCCTGTTGATCCTGTTCTCATTTTTATCAATATCAATTATACAACCCGATAAGGGTTCGGTAATTGTCCGTTTCCATTCAACATGAATACCTCTAGATACCGCTAATATGCACATCGTCAACCACATCTATTTTTGCTTTACATAAAGTGTTAAATGACAACTAAGCATGATCGGCCCATTCACAAAATGTTACAAAGGAATATCAGGTAAATAAATATCATCATCAATGAAGTCAATGTTTCATCTCGCTCAATAAAGTCTGCACGAGCGCCCGTGCATGAGTTATAATCACCAAAAATAAAGATATAACGGTGAACTAATTGAAAATAGAACTTGTATGTTTTGTGATTTAGAGTGTCTAGCAGGTCTATTATATCGCCTGATTTGTGTATCATATACAGATCTGTGTATCATACACTAATCAAGGTATCTAGTCATACACAAATCGGGATATCGATCGAACGCATCACTAAACTTCGTGCATTTTTCTATTCACATTTTATTTGCGCATAGAGACTACATCAACAATGGCATCGATAGAGGTAATATTTCACTTCACAAGAAAAAAATAAACTTTTTGATGTTGCATTTACATAATAAATTTGAGCACCGTCATGCGATTTGGGGTCTTAATGACATAATGCGCAAACGTCATAAATGACGTCAAAAGTCAGACCGACCGGAAGATCATTGCGAAACTACACATGTTAATCTAGAAGTTTTGTTTACGATTATTATCGACAGGTTACACGTATTTTCTTTGCGTAAAATGGCCGAAGAGCTAGAGGTAAGTTTCTTTATTCGTATTTTTTAACAATCTACTGTATGTTTATGTTTTAAATCTGATTTCATTTGTATCAATAATGTTTTGAAGGTCAGTCGGTATTTGAAAACGAAAGTAGAATACATTCGTGAATCTCTTTTCACATCAGGTGCCTATTTTAACGCTGGAAAAAAGTTTATCATGGTTTATAGACTAGCATGAATGTTTCGACATAGATCTATATCTTTTTCTCTAGAGCTATTTTTATTTTCATCTAGACCTAAATCTAATAAATGAAAAAAAAAAAAATATTTGCCGCTTTGCGAGACTAATCCTAGATGTACTGTAGTCTACATGAATATATTTACACATGAATATATTTACACATAACGAATAAACCCTTAAAACTTTGGTATATGGATCGTACATGTACATTTTATATGTGATAACTCTGGAATTAGTGTTTAGACTGTCGTATGGAACCGCGCTGTTTCATTTTAAACACCGGCGTTGTATAAATAAAATATTTCTTCAATGTTAAATGTAAATGCCTCTGTAGCTAAACGGTTACGCCGTTCGCTTTTCGTGCGGGCGGATGAAGTTCAAAACCTGCCTCTCTCTTATTTTTTTTAAGCATTTTTTAATCACATGCTGATTAAACAAATAGTAAATAGTTTAACAGTAAAATGTTAAATTTTTAGATTTTGCATTTTTTTTTATGATTAATATATTATTTGTATTTTATTTTCAGGAACTAGAGAGCCTTTTATCAGAGCATTTTGGCAGAACACCGTTGACTACACCCTGCAATACCCAGGAAGATGTTAGTAGCGACAGCGGTTCTGACCAAGACATCGGGGAAAATAGTATAGTGAAGAGCCGTGTGCGAGACTTCCTTTACCAGGATAGAGGTGCAAGTACTGGTGCAAATGGTTGTTCGGAAGACATTGAAAGGGATGAAGAGCTTGAATGGTCCGATGAAGATGAAGTCTGTGATGATTATGTTGAACCAGATTCTGACCGGCAGCATGTTTAACTTTATAAATCTAGTAAATGTTGTAGGTTAGCATGTAGCGGAAAGTTCACTAAAGATCAAATATATCAGTACCTACTTAATATGAAAGAAATGGAAAAAGAAACAAAGGAAATTTACATTATGGGTCTGATGAAAGATCTACAGAAAAAACACAACGTGGTAAAAAACGTCAAAGAATGAGAAGAAAGTATACGTTTCATGGTACTGAAGTATGTAAAAAGACATTTCTACTTTGTCATGGCATAGGGAAGAAAACACTAAGTAGCTTAAGTAAGCAAGTTTTTCAGGAAGGTATTGCTCCACGTATACATGGAAATACTGGCAGAAAACCACATAATGCTATTACCTTCGACGACGTTACAAGAGTAATACATTTTATAAGTAACTTTGCTGATGAAAGAGCATGTGGAATGTTGAACAACTAAAAAAAATAGTGCAAAGTGTACAGTACGTAATGTGTTGTAAAAGTAAAAATATGTTAAAGTGTAGTATTTTGACTTCAATGCAAATACTAATTCTAATAGAGCAAAATAAGTTAAACAAAGTTAACCTTTATATCAAATGAGTTTTTTGTAGAAAATGGAACTTGATGCCGACAAAATGTTTTCTGAGAAATAAAATAGATAGCATATATGAGGCATAATATGGGCCTATAAGTATGTAACAGTACTGAAATAACTAACTTCTCTTATTATCATTACAACTTTATAATGGATATTTTTGGTTTATAAAGATCTTATTTTATATACAAGCAATAGTTTGCATTTGATTAAAACTACATAAACAATATAGTTAATTAACCTGCGGGATGATAAATTTGTTTTATTGTTATAAATGAAAAACACCCCGATAATACTGTTATATTCATTCTCGCTTTTCAGGGCAGAACAAAAATAAGTATATGCTTGCTTATTTTATGTGGAGAGTAATGACTGGTCAGAATGAAGTAATAGAATACTTAATGCAAACTCCAGGTAAGTTGGTAATATTCTTTACGCACGAGTGATTCTACGTGCACCGTTTTTAAAAAGAATAAAAAAAACTATCATTTAATTTTGATTTACTCAATAAAAAGAAAATAGGAACAGATTACGATACATTATCAGGCTGAAAATCCTTTTTACGTCCGCAGTTTGTTATTAAATTGCGATCCATGATGACACATTATAGCCTGCGGAAAGCGGTTTTTATAAAAAAAAAAAAAGACACGTGCTATGTTCTCTTGATCGAGACATCACGATAATACCGCTAAGAAAACCAGACATTCTGCTTGATATGTTTATGTGTTTTGGAATGTTAAAACATTCATTATTAGTTTTACTCAAAATGCTTTGTGTCTAAATGACATGCAAGAAATTGTTGTTTCTTCCTGGCAAAGATTTTTTAGTATGAAAACAATGTGCAGCAATTTACAACTTTACATTAGCATGCTAAAATTTTCAGCCTTGTTATATTGAAACAGGACACGCCCGGTGTTTAGTAGATTCCGGCTTCGCCCACATCAAGCGAGTATATAGACGAACAGATGTAGAGACGCTTGAACAGCTTGAAAATGTTGTAAACAAATCATGAAAAACAAATGTTGCTGTCCGTTTTCAACACTGGGCATGGAGAAATTGGAAGTCGTTCTTAGAGGGAAAATTTAAAGCAGTGAAAGGAATAAGGTAGTTAACAGATGCAACATACAGAAACTGCTTTAATAATAATAATCATCATCATCATAATCATAATAATAATATTCTTATAATACTAAAATAGTGGTAGTAATGATGAAAGAAATAATTATGATAAGAATAATATAATTAGGAAAGAAGTTCTCGTAACTTAAATAAAAAATATGATTTTTAATCAGTATAACTTTCATAATAAAACTTATATTGTGAGCTTAGCAGAAATGAGATGATGAGTTTTAATTTCAGGAAATATCAGTACTTCCGGTTTACTGCAGACGAACCAGGTATTGTCACCGTGCGGATTTCATCTGATGTTCAAAATGAGGAAAAGATTTGTATTTTAAAGCATCAGTCTTCGCGTTTTGAAGCGGCTGTAAGAGCAGAACCAATTCAACCAAGTGGGCTTAGTCAATGGTGGCAAACCTACCTGAACAACTCCGTACGGCCATACGTCAGACCAGCGTACAGTGACGAGTTTTGCGGTGTACACATTTGAAGCAAATGTTAAAATAGAGAAATAAAAAATATTGATTGATAAAACTTAATTCTTTTTTGTGTCAAGATTCTTATATCCGTTTGATGTTTTAACAGACAGCTCCATTAAATAAACATTTCGAAAAATGTTACTCAGAAAAAAATATATTTGGCCATAATAATAACATCATATAAAATGTACCACTACCATACCATTTACTTATTCATTATTTCAGGTTAATAGGGCCTAATATGTTTTCCCTCGCTAAAAAATAGTATAATCATTTGAACACACCTAATGCAAGAAAAGCGGGAAACGATGACGTGATAAATGGGAAACATTGACGTCAATTTAGCGACGACAACAACAACGTCAAGAAGTTTCAACATGACGTTGTGAAATAATAATTTCTTTTGCATATGAATTATATCACTAGAAAGCATATTTCTTGAGCTTTAATTTAATGTGAAAATCTCAAAAGCGATAAAAATGTCATTAAGACCCAAATCGAATGACTGTGCCAAAGATTTCCAAACTTATTTATTTTGGTTTCCTTTATATGCTTTGACCTTACAACACTATAATAAAGTATTGATTAATTTCCATCTTTTGAGAAGCCAAATGTTAGAGTGAAGAAAAATTCGTCCTTCTCTCACTTGTTTAAATTGTGCATGACAGTCGCCACCGGGAGTCCCATTTCGGCGACTATACACTGGTAAAGAGTCAAATGGAGGAGCGGCGGATCGAACTACGACCTCTGGTATATTGGCTATCTGCATTTTCACGGCGCTTTAACATTAACTACCACGGTTTTAAAACATAAAGCAAAACAACTCTTTTCTTTCTTGCAAAAGCAGGAAGTGGGACAAAAGTAAATAGCTCTATATAAAAGTCAAGCCTCTTACTGGAGGTTACGTACCATGGAGGAAACATATACCAGGAGGTATATTTGGAGGTTACGTACCACTTATATAGTTTGAAATATACGTACTATTGATATATATTGTCATCTAATTTCTATGAATTGCATATGTACAGAATAATAAACACAAATATATATAACTTAACAATTGTAATAAAAAAGTAAATGAACGAATTATTACATTGGTATTTGATATGATTTTGCTTTTTAACAGTTTAGAGGAAAAGTAAGTAATAGTTACCGTACGAGGAATAGGGTGCATAGTATTTACAGACCCGGGTGGCGATTTGAAGACCGAGAGAGCGTAGCGATCGAGGTTTTTAAAAGGCCACCGGGTCTGTAAATACTATGCAGACCTATTCCGAGTGCGGTAACTATCTTACCTACATGCTCTTTTGTTTTTCTATCCATACATTAGTTTTTAACTTAGTAATTATTCAATGGCGGGGGAGGGGGGGGGGGGTTTTATGACCACTTTGAATAGGAAAAAGGGTCGATATATAATTTTAAAGTACATTTCATCAAATTAATAGAAGATAATTGGCGCATACGGCTGTAAGGACCCTCATAACATATATTCCAGATTATTTGTCATTTGTGAGAAAAACAAAATGGCTTAAGTTTTATTAATGAGTACAATAACGCACATTTAGCCTGTCTTTATAGTTTGCTTTTCGGTATACCTAACACATTTGCCAAACTATATAACTTCATAAGATACTAATTTTCGGCATTTATTTCCACAACTATGTCTGATTTTGCACAATCCTGCTGTATTATTTTAACAATTCTGCATAATAAAGAATACACCGAAAGAAAAATCTTCCAAACATAAATGAAATTCTAATAATATTTAAAATCAGCCATCATAAAAAACAACAACAAGAAAAGACCCAACTTACATGACGGTATATCTACATGTATGATTCATTTACTTTCCTTTGAAAAAGTCGTATATTTTAATTAAATTGGAAATAGCCTGATCATCTATTTACCATGAAATTATTTATATATAAAGATAAAGTGTTCCGTTGTTATGATTAGAAAACTTTTTTTTATCTTCCTCAATATTTGTATATATTATTAATATGTTATGTTTTCATATATCAAAATAATGATCTTACCTTTGCCTATTCTGTTTCCATTCTGTACATTACCTGATCTTATTACATAAAAAAAACACGAAAAATACGAGAATATTCAAATACCTGATTTGTGAACGAATGAATTACAAGAGCGTAGCTACGCTCTCTCGGTCTTCAAATCGCCACCCTGGTCTGTAAATACTATGCAGACCTATTCCTCGTACGGTAACTATTACTTACTTGTATGTTATTTACACCACAATATAAGGACTGATGTGAAAACGAGTTTATTTAGCTAAATACAGAACTTAAATTGGGCCATTTATTAAATCTATATCCACGGAAGTCGGCAAAATTTATTGTTAAGGCGGTCCGTTATGTTTTCACCATAAAAGGTATTTTTAACACTTATTTCATTTTTAACTTATTATCATTGATGCTTAGACTAGAGTCAACTGTATATATTTATTGTCGATATTCTGGTTAAATCCGTTATTTAGAGTTGCATGAAAGACATTTTATACAGTTTTAGGAAAATTTAATCCTTTCATAGAATTTAAAAATATTTTTTTTTATGATAAAGTAAATTTGTTGGTGAATTCTGTACATAGCTGTACTTTTGGTATGTCAGTTATTCTTACAAATGTATCCATCTATCTGTTAAGTCACTTGCATTTTCTATATTTTTATAAAACAATCAACGTCACATGCATTATCTAACAATCAAGACTTTATTGGCAAACCTAAATACTTTTCGTTAACATAAATGACCATGTTGACGTCTTATTCAAACGTATAAAGCTTTTATTGTAAGTAAAGCACAGTATTTATTTTTTTCGAGGGAAATAACTCTATCTATAATCGAAGTTAGAACAAAAAT